TTAATGAAATTACAGTATTTAACTGTAAATTTAAGTTAAAACCGTAAAACCTAAAATGTTGCTACTGTATTTTTTACGGTAAAATTCCGGCAACCACAGCTGCCGGTTTTTTACCGTAGATTTTACGGAATTTTTTTTACAGTGTAATAATACTGATATAATACTGATATATGAATATAAAATCCTTACTGGCCCCATTATAACAAAAAGAAGCAAACTCTGAAGTAGGTTGAATAATACAGAATCTGTTATTTAATACACGCATTTATATATTTTTAATAGGACAAGAGTATTGCATCGTTCATGTAGAAAGGATGCATTAAATTGATCAAAAGTGACAAAGACATTTAAAATAAATGCTCCTCTTTTGAACTTTATTTTCATAAGGGAAACCTGAAAAAATGCATCAATGTTTCTCGAACACCAGTTCAGTATATTAGAATGATTTCTGAAAGATCATTTGACACTGCTGAAAATTCAGCTTTGCCATTACAGGAATAAATTAGCCTAAAATAGAAAACAAAAATTCAATTATAATAATATTTTACAAAGTAAAAGTGTTTCTGTATTGTTGATCAAATAAATGTATCCTTGATGAGCATAAGAAACTTCTTTCAAAAACAATTAAAAATCTTACTGACCCAAACTTTTGAAAGGTAATTTAATATACTGCTATGATTACCATCCAAACAATCAATTAACATATTTTTTAATTTTTTCCCTAAATCAGGGGTGCCCAAACTTGGTCCTGGAGGGCCGGTGTCCTGCAGAGTTTAGCTCCAACCCCAATTAGACACACCTGAACCAGCTAATCAAGCTCTTACTAGGCATACTAAAAACTTCCCAGCAGGTGTGTTGAGGCAAGTTGGAGCTAAACTCGGCAGGACACCGGCCCTCCAGGACCGAGTTTGGGCACCCTTGCCCTAAATAGTTAAATTAATCATGTGTTAAGCTGTTAATTACAAAAAAGATCAAAACATTATTATTTGTTCAAGGCAACAGCTGTAAGTAGCAATTCCTGTTTTATGGGTTTAACAAAGCAAAATCAAAATCTCCCCTGGAACCAGCTTGGGGTTCATGCCTCCCCTGGGGTTAAATCATAAAACCTTAATCTACTGAAGGATTTCTTTATCTTTACTTTTGTATTCTAGGGTTTGTACTATTTCCCTCCAGATGTTGTTTCAATATTAATAGAATGATGCTTGATGGCTACTGTAATGATTTTTTTATGTCACATTTGTGAACATATAAGATCGCCCAGGGTCTAACACCAGGACAGCTTGACGTAGTGGCACATGGACCAGGAGCAGATACCACAGTGAAGAAGGACCAGGTTCTACAGGCACTGCAGTGGCAATATGGGAAACTGAGGCTCCAGTGGAAGAGCTTACTCTCAGCCCAGGAGGAGAGGTCCAAATTCACCCATAGGGCAAGTCACTAAAAATATAATCTAAAATAATGATGAAAACAGCAGATTCCGATGTAAATGCAGAAATGTAGTAATATCCTGTGTTTTCTTTCTCTAGGTTATCTCC